CCCCTGGTTGCCTTCTCCCTCTGGGGATCAGGCAGGTTGGGTTTGATCCTGTCAGGAGAGTCTGTATTTATGGCAGCCCCAGAGGCCAGGCCTACTAGATCTAAATTAGCCACCTAAGAAGGCATCTCTGTAGGAACTTAAGGGGATGAATGTCAATTACACCCTTTTTTGTTTACAGTTATCATATGAAAATTGCCTTTTCTCTCCCCATATATTTATCTGTAAATACAAAAGTGTGCCTAGCCATATGCATACTTGTGCATGCACACACACACACACACACACACACACACACACACACACACACACACACACACACAGATGGCACTCTTGTGCAGCACAGGCTTTATAATTACCATGTTGTAGCTGAGGTACCAATGCACAGTGATTCAGGTCTTGCTTAGTTCATTATCCTGTGTGGTTCGTCACTTCTAGGACAGGTTTTTCATACTGGTGTCAGAGCCTGGTCTGCCCAATCTGAGAGTTTTTCTTCTAGGTAAAGAGCATCCTGCAGCCGAACTTCAAGTATCCCTGGAACATCCCCTTCACTCTCCAGCCTCAGCTTCTTGCTCCACTCCAGGGTGAGGGTTTGACCATTACTTATGAATTGCTGAAGGAGTGTGGTCTGAAGATGGAGCTGAATAATTCCAGGTCAACTTGGGATCTGGAGGCCAAGATGCCTCTGTCTGCCCTTTATGGGAGTCTGTCATTATTGCAGCAACTTGTAGACGCCTAAATCTTCCTCAAGGCCTGGCCCCAGCTCAGTCCATGCTGAGTCCTGGAGACATTAGAGATGTGGCACCATGGCACACACAAGAGTGGTGTTTTCTGTGCCTGTTCTAGGGTGGTGGGAATAAGGATGCTGAGGGTTTTTCTTTTGATTTTACTATTCATTCACAATTTTACGAATAATATGTTTTGATCATATTCACCTCCCCCCATTTTCCTTTTTCTAATCCATCTCATTATGCCCCTTCTCCACAACTTCTCAGTCAACTTTTATTCTGATGCTCTTTTGCATTGAATTAGGATTATTTGCATGAGTGTGGGATCATTAGCTTGAGTAAGGGTGACTTTCCATAGGCTACACTGCTAAAGAATGTAACTCTTCTCCCCCCAGCAGCATTAACTGCCAACAGTGTCTTAGGGAGGGGCTACCTTATATGATGCTCCTCTATCTGTGATGGAATGTTGGTGAACCTGTGTTCTCTTGGTCTTGTTTAGGTAGCCATTGCTGTTGTGAGTTTAGGGGTGTAATAGCCATGTCCATGAATAAGGATGCTGATATCTGTCAAAACTCCTCAAACAGTTGGCTAAAGATTTAAATATTTTCCTCTATATAAAACAAAATAAATGTTACTTTTACTTATTTGTGTGCTTTTTCAATTGTTTTTGGTAAAAGGTGCTGGTGCCAGTCATTTTGGAATGGGTCAGAAATAAATTGGGGGTATTTTTAGGTAGGTAGTTAATAGTGTGATTACTTAGTACTTTTTGCAAGCATCCTTATTGGAGAAATTATTTTGGCCACTCCACGTAGTTTAAAGGATATTTATTTAATGGCGTAACTCACAAATTAAGTAATGGGTAGGTCGCAGGGTCTGGGGAAGGTGTAATGCAGTCCAGCGGTGTTCTCCAGAGCTCTGCACAGTCCACCTTCACTGTTCAGCGTCCCGGCACCGAGAGAGAGCACAGAGAG